GTCAAAAGTTCAAAACCTCATTTCTAAGGAGAGGTTTATGCCAGCAGTGGACTATTAAATACTGTTTATGATAATGTATGATAAATATATATATTTTATAGGTTACTAGCTGACCCGGCAAACGTTGTATTGCAAAACAAAAAAAAATAGGGATGACCCATCCCTATTTTTTTTTAACCCTTACCATTTAGGGGTATGAAAAATTGATGTTGGCCGATTCTCAGACCTACCCGATGTGCACACAAAATTTCATGAGAATCGGTCAAGCCGTTTCGGAGGAGTACGGGAACGGACATTGTGACACGAGAATTTTATATATAAGATTATTGACTACCTCGGTGGCGCAGTGGTAGTGTATGCGACCGCTGTGCTGAGGTCTCGGGTTCGATTCCCGGGTCGTACTAAATGTTAAATATGTATGTATTTACAAAAAAAGTATTTAAGTATTCTATCAGTCAATCTAACTTTCATAGTACAAGCTCTGCTTAGTTTGCAACTAGATAGCGTTTTGTGTCAAATGTCCGAATAAGTATTATTATTATATTACTTATTGTTCGAACTTTAATATGGCTGGCACCAGTTTAAAATTAATCCAGTCCATCCAAAGCTTGCCTGGAAGTAGTTGCTCTAAGCGATAAGGCCGCCCTTTGCACATTTGTTCTACGTTTAATTACTTTATAATGTCTGTAAAACCCTGGTTTACAAATAGAGATCCATCTATCTATCTATAATTTAAAACAAGGTTAAAGTTTGTATAAAAATTACACGTAAATATGCACATTAAAACACCAATAACGAATCCATAGCATACAATGTTTTGTCTCGTATGAACACAAACAGGCCTATCTAATGCAATAATAGTCCTGGAACCTCACGCATAGATAACAAAAGACTGTCCGGTATGAAGTAAGGGACGGTAGAGCTTTCGAGTTATCGTTAGATAATTGACCTGTGTGTACCGGAGCGGGATAGATTTAGCAAAAGGGTTCACTCATAATACGATTAAAGATGTTCTTTGAATATCTGTTGCATGCTGGAAGAATGAGAGTGTTTCCATACATTGCAACAGACTGCCGTAGTTCAAAGCTTTTTGAATAATTGTCGCAATATAATACTGGCACAACGAGAGATCAGAATCATCAGATATATAAAATTCTCGTGTCACAGTGCGCGTGGTTGAACTCCTCCGAAACGGCTCGACTGATTTTCGTGAAATTTTGTGTGCATATCGGGTAGGTCTGAGAATCGGCCAACATCTATTTTTCATACCCCAAATTTTTTTTCGCCAATTTTTTGGAAATAATGTATATGGCAAAACAACGTTAGGGGGGTCATCTAGTATTATTATAACAATCTCAATGTTATTAAGGCGTTCAGAAAACAATAATAACTCCCTCCATACCCACTCCACCTCAAATAATTAAACAGAGGTAAACAATCTATTTTATCTTAATTAGAGATCTGTACTAGTTATTTCATAGACGTGGTTTGAACACACTTGTCAAAGGAACATCACCAACGGATAGACTACTAACAGGACGTAAAGATGGCGGAATATTGTGGTGGATACATGGTTTTGTATAAAATAATAATGGTTTTAATGTGCAACATCGTTCCTCTCACTTTCCTATAATCTGTGAGAGATTAAGTGAAAGGGGGTAGTGAATTCGTAAATTATTATTAGTAACTAAAAAAATCAAAATGCACAGTAGAATATGATTAATAATGGCTGCTTGAGTTTTATAACTGTGAGTGTGTAATGTGTTGCAGCCATTGACGTCCACCTCGGGAAGATATACGACAGGTATAAAGTTTAATCATAAACTATTTTTTTTTAATAATAGATATTACTAGCTGACCCGGCAAACGTTGTATTGCAAAAGAAAAAAAAATTAGGGATGGGTCACCCTAACCATTTAGGGGTATGAAAAATAGATGTTGGCCGATTCTCAGACCTACCCGAGGTGCACACAAAGTTTCATGAGAATCGGTCAAGCCGTTTCGGAGGAGTACGGGAACGAACATTGTGACACGAGAATTTTATATATAAGATTAATAATATATAATATGAGCAATGAGCGCGAGCAGTGCTAGACATCAGATTTTAACATTTAGTATATATACTGGTAAGTTCCTTCGGTTTTTGTTTCCGATACTTATCGACTGCCTCGGTGGTCCAGTGGAGCCGACAATTCCTCGGAATCGATTCCCGGACCAAATGTTGGCAAGATTTGCAAATATTTGTTTTTGTCTGCAAAATAAAAATAGTTTGTGACGTTTGAAACTAGATGGCGATGTGTGTCAGATGTCTGCAAAATAATTTCATTATTATTTCTTTGACTAAGTAGTCCCCAATGGGATTTTTCAACTCAACTACCGAGACATACTAATTACAATAAGAGAGCTCGTTAAATCTTTATACTCTACATGTTATGTAGGTAGTTAAGTACTCGATAAGTTGTAAAAGTCGAAATGAAAATATAATTAAGATATCTGATTACAAATCCGATATCTTGTTAGTACTTTATCCCATCTATCTGGCAACATTGTTGCAAAGGATTTTATTTCACTACTGGCTAATGGCTACCGGTTTTATGGAAAATATTGATACTTAAGCTACCCCGGCTTTTGAAAGTTCGATTCCCATTACCAATTAAAAAAAATGATCCTCACAGTCTACCATCTACTGCCTCAGAACCCTACCATCTTACAGTAAACTCTAGCACCTCGCGCGCTCATTGGTCTAATCAAATCGCACGCTTCCTAGGTTTGTTGTTCAATACTTCAATCCCCTTTAACAATATCAATCACAAAGATTATATAAATGCGAGAAAATGTACACATTAAAATATAATAATGGTCATTGTGACGGATTAAGAATACGGAATCATCCCATTGACGTCATAAGCGCTAACTAAGGGAGCGAACTACTTAGGACAACAGCACTGCGAAGAAAAGGAAAATTTGAAATAAACTCTATACCAACCCGTCTGGTCAGCATAGTGTAGTAAGCCTAAACCTCCTTTATAAGGAGAGGCCTTTATCATGCAGTGGACTGTTAGAGGTTGTTGGTGATAGTCATTGTAGCATAAAATAAAATCGCAAATGTTTTAAGACACTCATTTAGACATAAAAATTGTAAATAGCATTATGTAAATACACACAGAAATTATACAGAGAAACACAGATACCAATGCCAATAGGCAGTTTTAAGCATACACATATTTGTATTGCACTTGAATAAATGCCGCTACCCCAGAACTTGTAAGGACTATATCAATAATCAATACCGTGGGAGAGGCATGTTTCGCCTCCACTGGTCTAACAGAAAACCGTGCTTAAACAATTCCTTTTTCACTGAGTGTCTAAGGTTAAAAAGTCCAAGTTCCCTCCCTCTCCCCTGACAGTGAAACACTCAAGGGGGAAGCAACGCGCGTGCGTCTCTTGAGCTGTATGTGTCCATGAATGGCGGCAGTCACTACCATCAGGTGATTCGTCTGCTTGTTTGTTCCCCTATACCACAAAAAATGGCATCCATACTAATATCATAAACGCGAAAGTGTGTATGTCTATCTGTCTGTCTGTTACCTCTTCACGCTTAAACCGCTGAACCGATTTCGATAAATTTGGTATAGAGATAGTCCAAGTCCCAGGAAAGGACATAGGGTAGTTTTTATCCCAGAACTCATCCTTTAAGAGGGTGATCAATACCAATAACGTGACTTTGATTGTTAACTGAACATAACCGACATTTACGGCGGAGCCGCGGGCAAAAGTTAACATAAAAAAGAGTTCATTGTGATACGAATACTTTATAGACAGCCTAAAGCATCGCACCACCATTGTTTTTCAAATTTCATAATTCGAACTGATTGAGTCAACCAATTGCTTACATTTCAATACACGTTACAGATTCAATGTCACTCGGTCATTTGGTCAGTGAAACTCATTTGGCGAGCACTGCTCTCCCGCCTGAGTTTTGTCTATGATTATATGTATGTATCTATGCATCTGGCTCCTAATTCTGTTATAAACGAATAGGTACAAATCTAAATTGTACCTTTATTGTACTAATGAGCCAAGAATTAATCGTCGTGTTTTTAATGGTGCTTCACAGTAAAGTAGGTACTATTTAAAAGTGTTCACCGATCATACTAAAAGCATTTGCATACAAACTTGAACTTGACAATAAAGGTCCGGCAGCAATAATTAATTAATACGTTTTTATAAACAAATCCAGGGATAAGCCAGCCCGCGTCCTTTATCAACAATTTAAATTTATTTGATACCGCCCTTGATCGTCAGAATGAATGATCATGGTTATTGACGATGTCTCATAAGTACGTCTCGATTAATTAATCTATATAAAATACATATAAATTTTCATAAAGCGTCCTGTGTTTCTTGATCGTCGTCGTCCGTCCCGTAGGTTGACTTAAAACACTCCATAGAGTAGGAATGAAACTTTTTTATCTGTCAAAAATAGTCAACTACTATAAACAACTGTCTTAAAGAGGGTTGTGTTTTGTTTAGAGTTTAAAAAAATAGAACATCATAGTGAAATAACAAGTGTTATTTTTTTTTTGATAAATTATAGTATAGTACAAGAAAGTATAAGTTTCTAGTCTATAGAATGTACTAAGAAAAGATCATACATACTTTTCAAACAATAAAATTGGGATGGTTATAAATTTTACAATTTGCAATAAAACGTATTTTTCGATACCCATCGTATGGTGTGAAAATTAAGGGAAAAGATATTGGCGTGAGTAATATAGTTTATGTATTTAGATGTAAGTGCCGACAATAGACCACCATCAGGCAGTCCTTATTGAGTAGTGTTATTAAAAAAATATCGGAACCGACAGATTCGGTGTTGCAATTAGACATTAAACAGTATTCTCAATTACTAGAATTGTCCCTCTGTTCTATAACCGGACACGGCTTGCAGTGACGCACGCACATAAGTACTTGTCAGACACGCGAACGTCGAAACAAACATGATCGTGGCGCGGGTGGCTGACCGTCATAGCCTCATAGGTAACGTGACGCGGGAGGGGGACACGCGCGAGTTGAGACGAGGGGGGAGAGGACGGGTCGTCGCGAGGCCGCCCTTGCTCGAAGGTGACACGACAATTAACGCCGCGCGGTCATTCCACCGCGCGCTGGCGCGATGTCAACGATTCCGATCATCCTGCAGCGATAGGACGCATGGACGACCGCGTCGCGGACCGTCCGCGCCCCAAGGTTGCCGCGTGACTCGCGATGTTATTACCTACCTGTATTACATTACATACTGTTTCTGCACGAAAATGTTTATATTCACTACGTTATCAAAGAAAAACTTTTGAAAAAATCATTTAAGAGAATGTTCTTATACACTGTACATCCATACTAATACATAATATCTATTTATACTTAACAGTAACTTTACTTTCTGCTTCAGTATTAACAGTTATAATGTATGTCCGTCTGTCTGTAACATGTTCCCACTCCAACTGCTTAGCTGATCATCATAACATACACATCAGCAACACACACTTACAGAAAAGAACAAAGGCAAAATAACTTTTACGAAAGCGCAGATATTTAATAGTTACTTTGTCATGGGAAAGAAAATTAATTTTAATAGATAGTATTTACGAATGTTTAGATAACGATTACTCAACTGCGATGCACGTACAACACATACATAAAAGTGGTTTTCCTCCTAAGAAATCTGAACAAATTTCAGCAGATTCCTGACGATGAAACACTACCTATCGGTATATATACTGATACACGAATACACTACATGTAGTATTGTATGCTTAGTTCATATAACTCAAGGCCTACGGATAATAATTACTTTAATTAAGACGTCTTTATGTCATTTATATCAACTACAACGAGATGACGAAAATGTGGTGAATAAAGCTTAATATAAATATAGAGGTTGACAGGTACGAGTAGAGAATAAATAGATTAAGTGCGTAAAAGAGGATATGGCTAGAAAGAGAGTAAACAGTGAACTGACAAACGATAGAGAATAAATTTGGAACAGAAAACTAGATGATTTATGACAACTATTTACCCAGATAATTTTTTACCTATACTTTATCGCCAGTCGGTTATTTACATGTATGTAAACACAGATTTAATATATATATACTTTATTTAATATTATACACTACTGTAAAGACGATTATTCATATTCTTGTCAGCAGTCTGGTTAGTGGTTACTATAGTTCAGGCTCTGCCTAGTTTGAGGTCAGCCGTATAAGGTTTCTTAAGTTATTATAATAATAAAAGACATGGTATTAAGTTTAAGACTTACGTGTTCTATTTTTTTTTAAATTGGTCAATGAAGGACCTCATGATAACGCTTATGGCATAAGGGAAGGTTACCCTTCCCTTATGCCATAAGCGTAACAATAATAATGTTTTCGGACATCTGACATAAAACGCCATGAGCATGTGCGTCCTCCCCATTCTCACGTATGGTGCACAAACTTGGTCTTTGACTGGACAGCAGAGGTCCGGGCTGGAAGCTTGCCAGCGAGCCATGCAGCGTAGTATTCTGAGCATACGGCTGACAGACCGAATAAGAAATATAGTGCTATGCTCCAAAACACAAATCGCAGATGTCTCTCGTACAGCCGCCGTACTCAAGTGGGACTAAGACGGACACGTTTGAGGCAGGCCGACGGATCTATGGGCAAAAATGAGCACAACTTTGGACCACTTTGAACTAAATGACAACGTGGTAGGAGTAGGCGACGATGGCGGGACAAACTAGACGGCTTCTGAAAAGACTGGTCCAAACACAACAGAGCACACAACTAGCACACAACAGAGAGATGTCGCAAGGAGTGAGGGAGGCCTTTAGTTAGAGGTAGTGGGACAATACAGGTTAAAACAAAATAAATTAAGACAATACTGTATTTTATCAGAAGTGGAATTGAAAGACTGAAAGGTTAGTGGTTAACTCCACAGGACACAGGACACAACGTTAATATTGACCTATTATTTATTAGAAATAACAGTACAGCAGCTGCATGACTTTTCGGCACTTTTAGATCTTTGCAACAGCAATTAATACAAATATAAAGAGCATGACCTAAACAAAAACCACAAACTACGCAGGACAACAGCACTGCAAAGAGAAGGAAAACTTGTCACAAATCCTATACCAACCCGTCTGGCCAGCGTCGTATAGTAGACAAAACCTCCTTTTTAAAGAGAAGCCTATGTCCAGCTGTGGACAAATTAATGATGATGATGAGAATGACCAGCTCGGCCTAACCCATCGAAATAATCTATATTCTTTTCTTTTCCATGGCCTCTCTTAATGCCCCCCTAATATTCAAACCCTTGATTTTTATAGGCACACGGTTGAAGGCCAAGAACGTTTGAAAAGGGACTAAATTATAGTTGACAAAGTGCTCAGTACATCTCTATACCCCTTTGGGGATACAGGCTTGAGTGAGTGTGTCTCTAATAATTCTCATCACGCTCTCAGTACTCTAATCTGAGAAATACAAGCATTTAAAGATAACTAACTTTTTCCCGCAGCTCTGCCCACGTATATGTTGGTTTTCGCGGTAAAAAGCCTATGTCTTTCCTCAAGAATCAAAGTATATCCAAACCAAATTTCATCTAAATCAGTTCATCGGTTATTGATGCCCCATACAAACTACCACATCCTTAAAGGATGAATTATTGGATAAAAACTACCTTATGTGCTTTCCCGGGACTCAGACTATCTCTATACCAAGTTTCATCTAAATCGATTCAGCGGTTTAAGCGTCAAGAGGTCACAGACAGACAGACAGACAGACAGACAGTAAGACAGATAGACAGACAGACACATTTATAATATTAGTATGGATATTAGTAGTAGGCCAAAACCTCCTTTCTAAGGAGAGGCCTATGTCCAGCAGTGGACTAGTATAGGCTGTTGATAATGATGGATATTAGTATGGATTTGTGAACAACTAATAACATTTTTAAAATGCTATCAAAAATCTAAGATATTTAAAAAAAAATTACCGGCTTCAAAAAAGGAGGAGAATTAGATTACCGAGAATAGAATACAATTACCGGAAGAATTTCATTTATCTACAAGATAAAAATGTAAACGCTGTCTATCTGTCTGACTAAGCTGCTAGAATGATGAAAAGTACGTATATTTTTATCGTATTTATTTATTATTTGACGTGGTTGACAGCCCTGGGTGTTCGTGACACAACCGTCTAAATTGTGAGTAGCACGCGCTGCAGACTGCACTGCGGTTATCGTCCAGCCGGCGCTAGACAACTACCTACCGCACACCCACACTCCCAGAGTGTTCTAAGTTCCTGACCAAAGATCTCACTAAATTCTTAGATATTTATACCCTTACGATTTACAATTTACTGTAACTGCTTCCATTTGCCAATTGGGCGAAATCCGAGGAAAACGATCTTCACTTTTATTCGGCAAAGGTTAAGAACTAACTCGAACACGTAATAGGTATTTGGCACCTTTCAATTGGTTTACGTTTCTATCAGGTTGCAGCGAAATTCAAAATTTTGTTCAGTAACTGGAGAGGCTAAGGATTTTATACATAATTACTAATGTAACTACATAATTGACGATCACATTTTTTTGTCTTCTGTTCGTTAACACAACCCTTTGAACACTGCACCATCCATAAAGCAAATGAAGTAAAATTTTGGAAGCATCAGTAAGCAATTTAATATATCTAGTGTCAAGCTAGTAGGTATATTTGAAACAATGTGCAACGATTACGCAGATCATGTATTGTAAGTAATTGAACACACAAGCACGTTCTCACTAAGTACCGTTGCGAGGCAAAGCCCTCCTGTACCTACGACTATACAGATATAGCGACTGTGTAGGTAGCTAAAGCCCTAGTGAGACATATTGTGTGGGCGTGTAACAGTAAGTAGCTGTCTAGGTGGCCGATAGCGGGGAATTTAAATCAGAAATGTATTTATCATTTATTGCTTTAATATTAAAGAGCAGGGCTGATGCTTTTCGTTTGCATTATAAGCAACATTTGAAAAAAATAGGCAGAAGCGACTGGATACTGTTTAGCTATTGTGAATGAATTAATTATACGTTATTAAGAAAGACTACTTAGTAAATAATATAATTTATAAAAAACCTTACGGTTTAACCCAGGGTAAACAAGCGCTAAAAAATAAGTAAAGTGTAAGCCCAAAATCGATCTAAGTGGCGTGCAATGGGAGGGGCCTATGTCCAGCAGTGGACTGGGTTAGGCTAATGATGAAGAAGGCGCTAAAAATTATTTTTTCTGTCTTAAAGCAGCAATAAATTTGAGGGAGAGAGAGAGAGAAAGAGAGAGAGAGAGAGAAAAATAATTAGAGTCCACTGCTGGACAGAGGTCTTTCCTAAAGTGCGCTATAACATCCGGATCTCTGCCTTTGCATCTATTTTAGTCACTTTCCCCAAGTGGTCTATTAGTGATACCAGGAATTTCCTTTCTATGTTACACCTGGTTCTTCGATGACTGGTACTCGAAAGGGTGTGCGGTTTTTAGTCGGTTCGAGTCTGACATCTCACCGGTCGTTCGGTGGGGGAAATGCGAGGGGATTTTCGCACGAAAAAAGGTGGTCTGGTTTGTCAGTCTAATTAGGTTCATCCTACCTTCTAGACGTATACACATTTTCAAGAACCTAACCTGAAATAGTTTCATAATAATCAATGTATCATTAAATTGTATCTTTTACTTTCTAATCAAAACCGTTTATCATGCGTGGGGTGTAATCGCAGGTAGTCATCTCATTGTCAGATAAGTAGTAGAATCTCTTGATCAGCACTGCTTTGCGTACAATGATGAATAAGGACATCAAACACATAGATCGAATGAATGGTGGGATTTGAAATAACCAGTACAACACTGAATGCACTCACCGGCTAAAATATAGCACTAACAGTACCTACTTTTTTGTATCTATTTTATATCCATATCCACCCTTACATTATAAACTAGCTTTTGCCTGCGGCTCCACCTGCATGCTCACTTTCACAACTATATTTATATTATAAATGTGAAAGTGTTTTTTTTTGTTACGCTTTCCCCCCTAAATCACTAAATAGGTTCTAAAAATTCTTTCAGCAATATAAAGCTAAAATATCAGTGAGTAACATAAGCTACTTTTATAGCTGGAGGTTGTTTTTCAAATTTTTTTTAGCCCCGATGGCCGACTACGAGAAATTGACTATCGAAACGCAAATTGTTATCTTTAATATATATCTTCGACAGATATAAGGATATTTTATTCCATTTTTTTCTATTTTTAAATGTTACAAAGACTAAATTACAAAACATACATAAAAGTAT